AAATATTTACTTCAAATTTAGTTAGTTTGGTAGCCAAAGTTCTTAAAAAAAGAGTAGGGTATCTTCGGAGGAACTGCCCAATTGTCCTTGACGCGGTTCGTATAACCTTATTCGGCCTTCCGGCAGCAAACATATTTTCGTCGATGGTTATTTTTTATTTATCGTTTATCAAAAAGAGAGTTGTTGAATTGAAAAAGAATTTTGCTCGATCGATAAATACAAACAGTTTATATATCAATCAAAAAAATAACTAACTCGCCTAAAGGGAAGAAAGATCACAATCAAAAAATCACAATCTAAAAAAATGACTAATCGCGAATGGAATAAAAACTTTGCAACGGCACATTCATTCATTGACCAAATGTGATTTTTATTATGCGACGACCGTATTTACTTAATAATCATACACTTTAGTACTAGCGTAATTTTTGTTTGTTGTATATATACAGACAGACTACTTTGTTTTCTACATAAACAAACAATTTATTTATTATTATTATTTATTATTATGTACGTTATTTTTAGTTATTATCGCACTCATTCGGTTATTGATTATTTCTGGATCAAAGGTTAAACCGCAGCAAACAAAAGAAAAGAAACCTCTCCGATAGATGGACGTGGTAGATAAAAAAAAAAATAGAAAAAGGTAAGGAAAGATCAATTTTTTTAACATCAGATGAATGAATAGTGAAAATAATTTAGTAATAAATAATATATAAATTAATATAATAAATAAAAATAATAATCATTAAGCATAATAGAAGTTTGTTCATGTCACATGCAGATCATTAATTTGTGACACAATTGAATTATATTGCGAACATAGTAATACAACGACTTTTTATATCTTATGTAACCTATTTTTTTTAGAAGGTACGTGATAAAAATATTACAATTTAATGTTTTTCATACCTCCTTCTGTATTTTTAGACATTTGGATCGAATGGGACCGAATAGATTCATGATCTAGATGAGAAGAAAAATTTATTATAGAAGAAGTAACAAATTAGCAATAAATAGTGGTAATTTCAAATAATTTTTTTTAATACTACACAATAAATGATTTTATCATTTTCCATATCATCAATTATTAATTTCAACATTGAGAACAGGTTAAATCAAATATGTTTAGAGATTAAATCGAATATTTTAATTATTAATGTATATATAAATAATAAATAATAATAAAATAAAATACATGGTATATTGTATATTAAATATGTTATATGTAAATCTATTATTTAAAAAAATTTAATCACCATTCTTTTACTAATTCAAGCGCATTTTCTAAATTTAAATTTGAATTAGGATTTGGTGTATTAATTTCTTCCTCATCTTCTTCCTCTATTTCTTCTTCTAAATCATCATCTGTTAAAATAGCTGGTCCCTTTTCTAATCTTTTAACAAAAGAGTCAACATTATTAAACACACCCTTCTTATAAAACTCTTCACAATGTCCACATCTATTATGTAATTTATTATAGCAATTTGCATGGTACCCATGTCCGCATATTAATATTATTCCTTCATCATTTTCAAAAGGTTTTTTGCAATGGTCACATAATTCAGGATTTGGTGGAAAAGAAGTATGATAACCAGCAGGAAGGGACCTTATATCTACGTGTGCATTTAAAGTGGGCAATTTATAAGTATTATTTTTAACCTTTTTTGCTATATTGTTATGCTTAATATTATTATAAATTGAATGAAAGTATTCTAATAAAAAGAAACTTGTTTTTGTAGTCAGCTCTTCCAACATAGGTTCGCTATAAGGATAATGATGATATTTTTTAAATTGATTTATGAATGTTTGATCATGAAGATCAAGAAGATACGCTTGATTAATTATTGCTTCAGGTGAATGTAAAGAAGTTGTATTATTCCTTATTTGGCTATGGATGTTTTCTACATAGTAGTCATTAAAATTAACTAAATGTGATTCTATAACCCTACTAAATATATGGCCATTATCTTTCCAATAATAATAGTCGGACAAAAAGGCTAAAGGAGCTTTATTGTAATTTTTTCTTTTCCACCTTAAAGCCAAAGTCCAAATACGAAAGAGTGTTTCAAAGTATTCATTAAAAGAACCTGACCTGAACAAAATTGCATATATATCCAATGTAGCAGGTATTATATTATCTAACAAGTCTATCATTAATCTATATTCTAAATTTTTACATGTATTGGGAAATTTATTCATAATAACATTCGCAATTTTTTTCCACCCTTTACTTGCAAGATCTAATAGGAGGTTAATCCTCCAAGGCTTTGGTTTTTTTGCTAGGATTTTTCTTGACCCAAAAACGTAATGAAATAATTGATTAAAGAACTCCCAATGTATTATAATTATATATTCTCTTGAATTTAAAGATACATGTAGAGGACCAATCAATGGTACAAAATTTTTAATAATCTTATATTCATCGCAAACACTCTGACTTTGTTCTTGATTATTTATTTTTGTAATTGCCTTTCTTATAAACAGCTGTCCAGGCCAATCTGCTGATATAGCAATTATATTGTTCTTCAAATACTTTGAAATATTTTCGATTTTTATCAATGATAAAAGGACATCAACATAATCATTTAAAGAATGCAGATTTTTTTGTTGTACATTGACAATACGAACTTCTTTCATGGATCTATCTTGATGTCTTTCTAAGATTAATGGATTATAAAAATGAATGGTGAGAGACTCAATCCTATTTGATTCTTCTACATTTAAATTATTTGAAACCCATGTTGCTTTACGTGTGTTATAACTAATATCAAATATTCCTTTAAAGTCATTTAATAAATGATAGTTTATTCTTTGAGCCTCAATATTATTAGAATTATGAATGTAGACTCCATTATAAATCGCAGGAACTGCTTGACATTGCTTTATCATTTTAGAAACTGATGTTGCCATATGGTGGGCTGTAGAAAGAGTGGTAGTATTTGGTCTTCTCCATCCATGAATGGAATGATAATCATCAATATTAAAGCAAAATAATAAATGACTCTAAAAGGAATGTATATATTAATAATTTATTCTATTTATATTAAAATTTAAGAATAGAAACTGATATTACTTACATATTCACCAAAATTTTCATTTATTTTTTGTGGATGTTTTAAAGCAAGATCTTTTTTATAATTTTCAATTGTTTTATAACATGTTGTGATTCCCATATTTGCAAGTGTATCAATGGCTGTGCAACTTGCACCTGCTCCAACAAGGTAAATACCAAGATCAAGCTTTAAGGAATTGGTAAATTTGTTACGTAAACCTACTAACAAATAACAAAATACTACAATAGATCTTTTTGCTGCTTCTTTATTGCTTTCTGTCCTTTTGTCTGGAATTATGGCATCAGTCATTTCTTCAAAAAAGCCTTGGAGTCTTGGATCACTTTGTTCAATCATGTCGGAAAATTTTGATGGATCTGACTCTATGCCCTTTTTAAATTTTCTTTGCTGTTTGTAAAGAACTTTACTCAACAGTTTTATTTTTGTTGCAAATGAATCATTTCCTGTTTCTATATCAATACCATCATCAATAATATTTGTGTCTAAGTTATCATCAACATCATTATTATTTTCAGCAACATCATATGAATTTTCTTCAATTAGCAATTGCAAATTATTAATATGATCCATTATACTTTTAAAATCATCTTTGGATACAATAACATTATTCTCAATAGAATTTATTTTAATTTTAGACCAATCTAAGTTATCTTTTTGTTTATTAGTTATAGCATTAATTGAAGATTCACCAACCAAACCACCTTTGGCCAATTTTTTATTATTTGTGTTTTTCTTATACTTCTCATGTCTGTCTGGCTCAACTATATTTAAATAATGTATCCTGTAGCATAATTGATCATCTTTTTTTAAAAATCCATATTCATTATTTACATCTTTAAGTCTAATTTTATTAATAGTATAATCAGTTAACTTTCTGAATTCATTATTGGTGTTAGTACAGCCAGGTATAACACATGGACCACAATTTTTTGGAGGCATTTTTGATTTTAATGAATTTGTTCAATTTAGTTTTTAAGTTTAAGAGAATATTTGTATTTCTGATAAATAATTTAAGAGAATATTTGTATGTATTTCCAATAAATAATTTAAGAAAATATTTTTGAAAAAATCTTTCAGGTTGGAGTTTTCTCTATTTATATATTTTTAATTATTTATTCATTCAAGTTGACAAAGACCATATTAAAATGTTTCATTGACATGAATGAAGAAAGAAAACAGACATGAGTTTTGATACTAGTATATTTTTAAATCCTTTATTCCGTACAAAAATGTTTCATTGACATGAATGAAGAAAAAAAATGGAAAAAGAATGTGAGTTTTGATACCAGCAAATTTTTAAATCCTTTATTCCATACAAAAATGTTTCATTGACATGAATGAAGAAAGAAAACAGAAAAGGAACGCGAGTTTTGATACCAGTATATTTTTAAATCTTTTATTCCATACAAAAATGTTTCATTGAAATGAATGAAAAAAGAATACAGGTTTTGGTTATCAACATTGAATTCTTTATTCCGTACAAAAAAAACAGGAGTTTTGATTATCAGCATTGCATATTTTTAATTTAACAAAAAGACAAGGTGATTTTGTAAACTATAAACCTCTAATTTTTTTAAAAATTTTAATTATGAAAAAGAGTCAAATTGACAAAGAAAAAAAATAACTTTGGTTATGTCTGTCTGTGTATTATTATTTTCTTTATTCAATACAACGAAACGTATGTAACACATAATAAAATGTTGATTGTGATACAATGTGATAATTGCGAATGTCGATCAATATCAAACTTCTACTATGCTGCATGTGTAACATTTTAGAAATGTGATTAAAAATTTTCAAAAGCCAATCAAAAAATTAGTTTTGTGTGATGATTTGAAATAAGATCGACAAAATTTGGCCAATAAAATGGCTTGTTTTACAGTGTCCATTATGCTATTCAATATAGCATAAAATATCAATAATGTTCACTTACTGAAAAGTTGTATCCCGAACGTACACAGACTCCTGTAATTTTCAATTGTTGTTGGTGGAAGTGACTCAATAATTAAATCGAGCATATCTTTTGTAAGTTTTAATAGCTTCATTCTGTCCTCTAAGTACTTTTTATCATGAATATCTCCTGTTCTTGCTGCTTCTCCAGCTAATATTTCCTTTGAACTATTACGGAGTTTTAGCAATAGATCAATTTTTCTACCCTATTGATATTAAAAAAAAAAACAATTTAAACTATTTGTATTATAAAGTTACAAATTTAAAAGTCTGTTTACACGAATGACAGATTCTCCGATTTTTCTTTTCTTATTTTTTCGAATTTTTGATGCAGACGAACTACCATCTGACCTTATAAGATAGAAACACGTAGTTAATAACTAATATTGCAAAGAATGTGGTAATGTGTTTGAGCATTACATACTTTCCAATTCTTGTTTCTTCAATATCTTTTAATGCCATATCAATAACAAAGGTCCAAACATGACTCACAAGCCATGCCTCTAAATTATCTTCAGCTAGTGCATTAACACCTTGTTCCCATTCAATAACACTATATTGATGGGAAAAATATTAGCCAAGGATCATAACATTACATAGAAGAGTAACTTACAATTTATTAAATACTAAACGAATCCATTCCATATCATAGTGCAGCTCTGGATTATATGTCTCCCCATCTTTCAAATATGGTGTCATGAGAACTTTTTGAAGATCTCCAACATTTTTCTGTGAAAATATATAGTTTGTATGTAAATATGTACAATTTAGTCAATCTTAATTAAACAAATACCTTATAATATTTCATGATGTATTTTTTAACACCATCTTCAACATCTGAAAAAGATTTTTTATCGGTATTCATAATTATTTCTTTTTCTTCTAAACTAAAAAGATCCATAACCTCTTGACAGTCTGTATCAAGTATAAAAGAATGCGCAAGTCTTTAAACAAAATGGGTATTAGTTTATTGTAAGTATGTTTGGTAACAATATAATCAATTGATAAATGTAGCATATTTACGTTTCGGAACGTTGAGTCACTGCCCAATTATACAAGACATCTTCTACAAATCTGCCTGAAGGAAGCTTCCATTTGTCATCCATACTTATCGTTTCAAACCTCAACTTAAAACCTTCAATCAATTTTTTCTCTAATTTCTTTCTCTTTCTGGTCTTTTCATCCTCGTCACCATTTTTGTCATCATATTCATCGTCATCCTCGTAGTTATCTTCGTCGTCATCTTCATTGATCTCTTCTTCTTCATTGCAAAACTAGATATTGAAAAATTAGAGATAGTTGAAATAGGAAATATTGCCTAACAGCATATTACATACCTCAGAATCTTCATCTGATATTTCCCTATGAGTCCGCTTGCTGATATTATTCACTCTGTTTACTTTGTTTGAATTTTCAGCATAATTTATTCTGTTTATTTCTCTCAATGTTCTTCTGAGAAGTGGATTTTCTTGTTCATTAATGATTCCAACTTTCCCCCCACTCATTGTTCCGTTAACTGTGTTAATTGTTCCATTTACAGTTCCGTTTATTGGCTGGTGTAGGTGAACTTGTTTACGTGTATGCTCATTTTCCCATGACTTTGCGATTTTATAATCTGGTCTAGGATTCTAGCATAGAAGATTTGAAAATTAGTAAAATTTTTGTTCATATTTATTTCAGTTTCTAACCCATTTGAGTATCAGGTAGCCAAGGAGGACACCTGATCCCAATGGGTCCAGTGTTAGATCAGCAAAGAGCCTTGAACATCAAATAACCAAAGAGGTTATTTGTGCTCTAACACTGGTTTGTAGCTTAGCAAAGAGCCTTGAATGACGAAAGGCCAAAGAAGCCTACGATCGTCATGCCACTATTTTTAAAAAAAAGTCATTACATGCCTTTCGATACCTATCAAGAAGTTGGCTTGCTTTTTTTTGTCTCATTCCTTTCTCGTTATTAATCTTTTCAAGGCTTTTAAGGTATTCATCTATTTTTCTATCAAAAGGTTCTAAATCACATTCATTTAAAAATCCATTTACTGTATTTGTGATTGAAATATTTATTTATTTTTGACATGTTGACATGTGGAAAATTTATCAAATTTTAAGATAGCAGGTAGTGGAAAAAAAAGTTGTTATTTGATCAGCGTACGCGTACACACTTTTTATTACACGCGTGTGTATGTTGCACAAATAAGCCCTATTAGTCAAATTAAATGTCAATCTAAAATTTCTTTTCTTATTAAAGTCTAACTTTTTGCACACATTTTGATGACCATTAAAATTTATTCAAACTATCGAAGAAAATGGTATTTATTTTCCTTTTAAAAATTTTTGCTTTTTATTAGGTAATAATGCATCATCATGATGTTTTCTCTTTCTAACACTTATTATTTTTCTTTCTTCATGGTAAATTTCATAGGTAATCCTTTCTTTTTTTAGATAAACTTCCAGTGTCTGAGTATCATTTATTTTGAAAATGTAAGGAGCGATTTTTTCACCTTGTTCCTTTTTCAAAATACTTCTAAAGGTGCTGTAATTATTGGGTTCCATAGTAGAGATCTGATATAAATTAGCTTCATATTAACTATTTTTATATAGAGATAATTCTATATATCACCTAATATTAAGAGGATAACAAATGGAAGATTTTAATAATCACATTACTAAATTTTGATCCCTGAAATTTTTGGCAACACTAATGTTCACTTTGTCTGGTTTTGTTGCAGTATGCCCCATATAATAAAACCAAGATTGTCTTTTATAATTTTTTCTTTCAAAAGTTGCTCACATAGCCAATCGATGGCTACATCTCTGGAATCATTTTTACCCATTTTGATTGCTTTCCTAAAAATATAAACAGGTTTATCACCCAATACTATTTTTGGAAGTGTTGATGTTTGTTGTAGATGCAGTTCTAGTACTGGTGACAACAAGCATATACTACAAACCCTTCCTCCTATTTAAATGCACTGGAACATACATTAGCGCAACACACAAAAAGGATAGTAAATTGGATATGAGAGTATTGGTTTAATGAAGAGGATTTACAACGGAGTCACCAAAACAAAAAATCTCGAAACAAAGATTTTGGCATCATATCCTATCAACTCTAGGTAAAGAAAAATTTTCTTTTATGATATAAATTATATTAGATACATAAATGTATTTATTATTTATATAAATTTCAATACATCAAGGATAACCTAAAAAAAACTGTAATTTCAACAGTTGGAAAATTAGTACCAGCAGGAATGATTTTTTGCATTTGGAGACTGTGGAGTTAGAATTTACATATCCAGTTATAGAATTGCCATCATCATCATTGTTATCCTCATCACTATCATCAAACAATAACAAAAAAGGAAAAAATATTGACAAGAATCAAGCAACACTAAAAAAACTTGAGGACTCATTTGTTGAATCAAGTGCTATTTCTAAAAAAAAATAAATAAATAAAAGATCCTTGCCATCACCAAGAAATGAAAAAAAACTGTTAAGAAAAGAAAAGCTTTTGAACAAGTTGTTGAAGAAATTGTCAGAAATGAGCAAGAAGGAAAAGCAACCCGACTAGCATCAAGATGATATAAGACAAATGTTATCACGTTGTAACGTTAGTTATACTAATACATATATGTTATAATAATGAGTGATGGATATACTTTTCCTAATTAATTAATAAATCTTATGTAATGTGATTTTTCATTTAAAAGTGTTGTTACTTTATATATAATTTTTAATAAATTAGGCTTGGTGATACCAGTGACTGTTTTTGAGGATGACTGCTTATTGCAATATCTTGTTGCTATATTGAATTATTTATTTTGATCATCAAAAATGATAATAAGGAATAGATGTCATTGTAATTGAAAATGGAAAATTTTAATATATTGTGTCATTATTATTATTATTGTATATTATATAGTTTATTTTAATTGTTTAATTTGTATTTTTTTAAAAATAAATTACTTCGGATAATTGTAATTACTTAAATTACTTCAAATACTATTGTTAAGCATTCTTTTTTTTTAAAATAAAGAAAAAATACAACGAGAGAATATTTTTCTCCTGTGATGATTTTTTGATGAGCAGATAAGTTCTTTACAAAATTAATATTATTATCCTTATTAGGTTGGATTCTTATGCTTTAAGATCCAAGGATGCTTCAAGACTTCTTCCAAAGGTAATCGTTTATCAGGATCTTTTTGAAGAAGCTTTAATTTAATTAAAAATTTTTTTTAATGTGTGTGTATGTGTGTGAAGAAATCATATAAAAATATTCAGATAAAGATATAGAAAAGGAATAATTTGATTTTTCAAATGATAAAGTGCTTTACCGATCTAATCAAGTGCTTAGCATTTTCTGAAAAGTGTTGAGGCATTTTAAAATCAACTCTTCTGATTCTTTCATACGTAGCAGAACAATCCTTTTCCGCAAATGGTGCAGTGCCAGACAATAATTCATAACACAAGATGCCAAGAGACCATAAATCAATTTTTGAACACTCGATCATTTTTGGTGAATGGTAATACGATGTACCACAAACTGTTGTGCATCTTATTAGATGGTGTAATGGATGTTATAGATATATAATATCATTAGTGAAGATACTATTATAATAATATTTATTATATTATTATTATTTACCTTTGACTAGGAGTATGTACTGACAAACCAAAATTGGCTATTTTAAGTTCATCATTAAAATCCAACAAAAGATTTTCAGGCTTGATATCGTGATGTATAATATGCTTTTGATGAAGATAAACTAAAGCACTTGCCACCTGAGCAATATACTAATAGATATTTTGATTGGTAATTGAATTATAATCATTATTAGGATCTTCCTTAGACACTAACTGATTGATTGAATAAAATTCACAAACCCTTGACGCCTGTTTTTCAGTAAATTTGGTACACTTTTCTAAATGCTTATAAAGTTCACCTTCAGCTGCATATTCAAGAATCAGAAATACATGTGTTTCATCATAGAAATGTCCATATAGACGTAGAATATTTGGGTGTCTATAATAATAATCAACGTGTTAAATTAGTATACTTATTATCATCAATAATTAATTATCTGCATGAGTAAGTATTTATTTATTTGTCTAACCTTAGATTACTTTGTATTTCAATCTCTCTTCTTAATAGATTTTCAGTTTTAGCTTTGATAATTTCAGGTATGGACACCACTTTCAATGCAACAATATATCCGCTTGTTTTCTCTCTTGCAAGATAAACACACCCATATTGTCCTTTACCAAGTCCACATCCAATATCAAAATTTTCTAATCTCCAAATCTTATTACTACTACTGTTATCACCATCATCATCCGGAAAATATAAAAAAATTTTACACGTGTCAATTGTAAGTTTAATAATAAAAAAGTGTAAAACTTACGTCGGCACTGTAAGATTTACACAATATTACGTCGGCATCGTAAGATTTATGCAAGTTTACGCTAAATTAATTTCCTGATGATTGTACTATCGAAGACTGGTCAAAGATTATATGGTCCGATGAGTCTAAGTTTAAGATCTTTGGATCAGATGGGAAGCAATATTATTTGAACCGTCCAGAGGAACCATTAAGCCTACAGTGAAGTTTGGGGACGGGTCGGTGATGATATGAGGCTGTTTTACATCTCGGGGTGTTGGTGGCTTTTGTAGGATTGATGGCATGATGGATGCCAAATTGCATCAACAGATACTTCATGGAGATCTTATGAATACTATCAAAGATCATGGATTTAATGTCAAAGAGGTCATATTCCAACAGGATGGAGACCATAAGCATGCGGTGAATTCAACAAAACGATGGCTTAAAAATAATAAAATAAAGATCTTGGATTGGCTCCCAATCCCCGGACCTTAATGCCATAGAGCATCTATGGAATGAGTTGATCGTTGCCTCAGGTATCTCCCTGGCAAATTTCGGGCAAGGAGGATTAATGGAATAAGATACAACAGGTTTGGTTTGAATTGATGTTGAAACTTGCACCAACCTAATCCATTCTATGCCAGAACGAATCCATGATGTTATCAAGGCACGAGGTGGTTATAAAAGGTGGTAGAGGTTAAATTCTATAACGTTGTTATTATTTTTATTTTATTTTATATATATTATGTAAGCTGCGTTAAAAAAGAAAATAAATAATGCAACACCACTTATTGAATAAATGCATCGTTTCAAAAATAATTGATTTATGGATCCACCCTTGAATTTCAATATATAAAAACAACGTTATTAACAAACGAAACTATCATAAAAAAAAGAAGCATGTCTTTGAATTTTCACAGAATATTTCTATTTAATGAATTTTATTTTTTTGTATGATATTTCCCTCCCTATGATATATATATATACACTATGCGCACTATGCGCGCTATGCTACCATCGCACTATACGCACTAGGCGTGAAAAAAAATCACGGTTACTATGAATGGCACATCTCTACATATTGCTGTCCAATTTATTGTTGCCCACTCATAAATAGGTAAATTGCTGTGTGAAGGGTTGTTGCTATCGTAAAAAACATTAATGGTTTTTATTATATGATGTTTTATCAAATATTTGTTATTTTGTTATTTTATTATATACAATAAATAGTATAATTTAGTGTGATTCCTAATAGAAAAAATGTCAAATGTGACGACGCTAATACTAATCACTTTACAAAAAACATTTTCAGAATGTTGTTTTCCGTATGTTTCCTGTTTTTACATGCTAATACTAATACAGAAAATATAGTATTTTTCCGTCATGGAATATTAACTTATTACGCATTCTTTATTATTAGCATTTTTTTTCCGTATATTAGTATGTTTTATGAACGCTTTCAATATCAATATGTTTCAGTATAAAACATACCGAAAATTAACTGTTTTCCATACGTTTTCAGCTAGTAATGTCAGAAAAACCTTGCCGGCTAAGAGCTTGATAAATTTTTTATCAAGTTGTTATTAGACAATAGTATATTCACTAAAAATAAAATTTAACAAGTCTAAATAAAATAACTCAATGTAAACTAGTATTATCCAAAATATTGTATTAAGAAACCCTTTATATCACTGTCAAATTATCATTATTTACTAATACATTCAAAATTCCTTTTATGATCAAAAGGTTCGCCATAGTTATTATTACCTAATGGTTTACTATTATCGCTATCACTGTTATTATTATTATTATTATTACTACTACTGCTATTACTACTATTATTTACTACTATATTACTATTATTATCTTTATCTTGCTATGAA